ATCCTGCTTGTGCCGTGATGTTCAGGACTGCAAACCGAGCAGCATCACTGACTTTCAGCTTGTTGTATTTGACCTGTATCCTGACCTGTTCCACTGTGACACTGGGAGATGATTGGAAGGAGGAGGGAGGTAGGGGAGTGGGGAGAGGGCTCTGTAGTAAAGGTGAGGGTGGGTGGGTGGTGGTGGGGGGGGTTGTGGGCTGGTCAAACCTGTTGAAGAAGTTAACAGTTAGTCTATGTTATATATTTTATGCTTTTTGTTGACTTTTGAGAGCTTAAGTTGGTATTTTAAAGCAATCAATTCAATGCATTTCATTTATGACATTATTGTAGAGTCTATAAAGCTATAAAATGCACAGCTCCTTCCGGCATGGCCGAAAGAGAGCTGGTGTAGCAGTCACACAACACAGCTCATGGTTCTTTGTATTTGTAACATGGTAGACTAATGTGCCTGTGTTAATTCAGCTCCATATTGTTGTGTGAAGTTGCACTGGGTTGGGAGTGGTTGTGTGTGTGTGTGTCACATTTTTGGTGAGCCAATGGCTGTAATGGGGTTGGACTAATTAGAGGCAGGTGTTACTGATACACTGGTCTACTTATAGCCCACACTACAAACACTGCTGTGCTTTGTCTCTCTGTGCAGGTATGTAATGTGATGAAATCTGATATGTTTGGGCTGGATGGGTTTTGCGCTATGAATTCTATAGTGAATGTGTCATTTTGTCTCTCTGTGCAGGCCAGGGCCTATTATATGCCACACAGAGGCTGGAGTGACCACTGGCTATATACTTGCAGGGTGGTGGGTCTCAGAAGACAACTTCTAACCCTGTTGAGGTTCAACACGTGGAGTGCAACTGGCAGTGTGGCATAGCTGGCTCTGGCCTTGGGACTGTGCGTTTTACTTGATTCATAAATGGGACACTGGACTGTTTTATCTTTTATCTTTTGATTATTTGTCAATAAATTATCTTTTAGAATTTTATTGACTGTCATCTTTTTGCCCACAGCTAAGACGGTTGGACAAAAGGACCCCCTGATGATCATCTAATCGCTAAGAGGATCATCAGGTGGTCCTTTTGTCCCTCTGCTTGGGGATACTCCCACTAGGTTTATATCTGGGACTCTCCACCATTTGACCTTAGAACTGAAGAAGCTTCTTGGATGAGAGGTGAAACGTCTTCAAGTAACTTAAAGAAGTCCAGACGCTTTTCTTTGCAAGCTCCTTTGACTTCATCCATGGGCAGCAAAATTCCAAACTAATCAATACACATGCACCTCAGCAAATTGTAAAAGGGCAAAGCAATTTAAAACTTACAGTTTTTTGACTAATGTAGGTTTCCTGCAAATGGAGCCTGAGCTTGACGCTCCGCTCCTTGATAGTTTCTCAATATTTACTTCAAAAGTCTAAACAGGTGCACAGCAACAGAATTCCAAATTATGAAAACTTATAAAGCTCAATTCAAAATGAAGAGAGATTGCCAGGTCCACTCTCCTCTCGCCCAATTTCCTGTTTTTCTGCACTATCAAAATAAAAGCATACATTTCAAATTAAACTGCATGTAGGCTCCTACAGTAGGTTAATGAGATAAAATGATTCAGCTGACTTTATTATTGTTTTCTGATTATTATTATTTGATTTTGAGTTTTCTTTGCCCTCACTAAGTTGCTCTAATAAAATATCCTGCAATTAAAGTCTAAATTGTGGACATTGTGGACTTCTGTGAAATAGGACAAGAAATCTGAGTAGTAATCTTTATTTATATAAATAACTCTTACCGATTACGCCAGCCTTCTAAGTATAAGAGTCACTTGAGGCCTACTGTCCAGACCCCTCATTAACCCGTTTGATTAGTAAATGCACCGATATATGGAAGAGCTACCGTTAACAGGTGTGACTGGTAAGATTTGACTTGAAAGGATGCACAGGTTTTTGATTATGTTATCAGCGGATCCAAGGAACACACCTAAACACCAAGTTTGTTAAAGCTGGGCTATTCCCTTCACCCACACTGGCTCCATCTGAGCTCTGCGTTACCTCAGAGAGCCAAACAGATGTGTATAGGTTGCTGGTCCTGAAGATCGACAGGCTCAGCTGATTTATTCCTCTGTTGTTACACCAACAACAGACTGTACACCCACTTTGTCTTTGCTAAACTCTTACTTTAAATTCTTCCCTATATATTTTCATTTTACCACCAGTATTTTAGAATATACTTTGGCTAGGCCTCTCCAAATCCTTTGTTTGTCTGTTTTTTTAATTGTATTTTTTTTATTAATGTATTTATTTATGTTTTGTTTTGTTGAGGTAATTCAGAAGTGGACTCGAATCATTGCCCTGCTGCATACCTTGAGTGTGTTTGAACTTATATATTATATGAAGTGGCTTGCAAAAGTATTCGGCCCCCTTGAACTTTAACACATTTTGTCACATTACAGCCACAAACATCAATCAATTTTATTGGAATTCCACGTGAAAGACCAACACAAAGTGGTGCACACGTGAGAAGTGGAATGAAAATCATACATGATTCCAAACATTTTTTACAAATACATAACTGCAAAGTGGGGTGAACTTTCTGTTAATGGTACTCATGGCCATTGATCAGTGGTTGTTGATCAATGGTCAGGAGAATTTGCATAATTAAGATGAAGGAACTGACCTCCCAGCCCATTGTTCCTTCAGTGGGCTGGTTTCAGTCATTATGCAAATGTACTGTTTATAAGGTTGGAAACCTGCAGTCAGCTGAGACTGAAGAAGTCACTTAGATGAGTGACGAAATGTTTCTCCCACTGAAAATGCTGCATCCAGATGAACAGAATTATCTTTTGGAGATTTACTTAGCTGTATGATTAAGAATGCATGAAGACGTCTGGCAATGTTCACATTCTGTTTAACTTTAAGTGGTGCAGACTAATGAAGTAGTGTAGTGACAAAAGTTACAAATAGTTTTTTGAAATGAAAGTTGTTTATTGAAAACAAAAATTAGCGAAGGAATTATTGTGAATAAGTTTATTATCTAAATAAAGTTGCTGCTAGCCTTTTCTGTCATTGTTTTGTTTAGATGGGGAGTGAAACTATTTCTTTCTGACATGTGGGGAATGATGTAAAAAGTTTGAGAACAATTGATGTGGTCTCGTGTCCAACAGGAGGCACCAGCTGCTTTGTAATAAATTGCTAGTATGGGGTAGTTTAGAATGAATAAGTTGCCCTAACTTAGTCATTTTAAGTAAGCCTCGCTAGTTTTTTTGAGGCAGCGAGTTTGCATAATTTTTTCGAGTTCTGAGAACTAATTAGATTTGACAGCGCTGATGCTGGGTTTGGCTTATACCTTTATTGTGAAATGTAACTATATAACATTTGGAAGGTTTTTATTATTGTGAGCTCAAAAATTGAACTTTGCAGGAGTGCTGGACTTTTTTCATAATTTAGCAAGCTATTTTTTATAAGTTACAAATTCATTAATGTATCTGTTACTAGCAGATTTGTTGTTTTACTGGAATTTGGATTTTTGTTTTATTATGGTTTTAAAACCTGTTCCCCCTGAAATGTTCACCTTTACTAAATTTAGTTTGGTTTGTGGTTGTGGCTCACATCTTTGACATGGGGAACCAGAACACATGGATTTAAATGCAGACTCAGACAAGCGACACAAGTTTCAATGATTTTTATTAAGTAAAGGGTGGCACAGAGCCAGAGGATCCAGTCCAGCACACACACCAGGAAGGAACTGAGAAGGACACAAGAATCCAAAATAAGGACACTTGGAAAGTTTCCTTCTACAGAGAGGTGATGTAATCCTGATTTACTGCTTCTGGAGTGTAAAACATCGTGTAGGATGGAGGAGAAACCGATGTTTGAGCACACTGCTGGTTGTTGAGAGCAGGTGTGTTGACTGAACTCCACCAGCTGATGGAGCTGTGCTCACTGGACTGGAGAATCCTGCCACTCACTAACACACAAACCAACAGGAGGAGGCAGCAAGACAGAGAACAAAGATGAGATTTTTCTGTTCCAAGCTACAAGATATTGTTACAGTTGATAACTCATTAACCCACCTTTGGTGTGAGCAGCCTCGGCCATTAATGATCAGCGCATCAGCTCTGCTGCCTCGTAGGAGTCCTCGTTGAACACGTCTCAGCTCCAGACTCAGCCACAGATCCACGTGAGCCCCTCGGCACGCTACAGTCACCAGGCTGTTTGCTCTCAGAGTTCAGCTGGATTACTGACTACCTGCGGTCTACGGCTGTTACTCTGGACGTATATAAATATCTATTAAATTATATATCTTATGATATATAATTTAATATTTTTAAAAAAAAAATTTTTAAATTTTTTTCATTTATTTAGAATAAATGAATATACATTATTTATTATACATCCAATTCTAGATTTATAGATATATAATTTTATAAATTAGAGGGAGTATTGTTCCCACAACTATTATGAAATTGGAATTCATGCGTTTTTTCTCTAATGTTTCACTGTCGTTCACCAGTTCACACCTGTCCCTTAAAAGACTGTCTCTACATTCATCTTGGATCATTGGGGGAAATATGAAAGACAAATTGTATTTTCTCCACATTGTAAATGTGTTTCATGTGGACAAAAGGATAATTTTTGCATTATTTTCAGCACAGACACATAAAATTATTTTAATTATAATTTATTTAGAGTCGTCTCAATCATTGCAGATTCAGAGGGATGTGGCAAAGCTTTAGAGGTCTGTTGTTCCCACAAGAGGACTTAAGATTTTGGTTAATAATTTCAACTAACCCAACATTAAAATTCAGGGTGATTTTTGGTCTCATGTTTGACATGGCACTGTCGTTCACCAGCACTAACCAGTCCCTTAAAAGACTCTCTCTACATGCATCTTGGATCATTGGGGGAAATACGAAAGAATAAATTGTGTTTTCACCACATTGTAAATGTGTTTCACGTGAACAAAAGGAGTTTTTTGCCAGTGTTTTCAGCACAGACACATAAGATTCAATTTTCTTACGGCAGCTCTCTTTTTCTTCTTTTTCACTAAGTTTCCTGATATTTTGGAAGATTTTACTGTTGACTGTGAAAGACTTCAGTTTGAAGTGATCACGCTTACATCTTTGACTGTCTTCATAAAACACACCGCATGGACCTAACATGTTGGTAGATGAGTAGGTGAGAGTTTGGAAACAATTTTGTCCACTTAATCCGTAAAATTGTGTGAATGCTACAGTTGTGGAAAATCCATATTTACAGCGCCAGAGATAAGCTTTTTCGAGAAGTAGAGAAGTACAACCTAAACATGGACTGTTGAATGTATAAATCAGAATAGTCTCCACTAAATTTCCATTTTGTTGCAAAAAAGGTTCAAAAGCTTCACATAAACGAGGCTCGCTGTGCTTTATTTTTCCAGGAATTTCCTTTTTTTTATAATCTGGCTCAAATGCTGGAGAAACAATGATATTTTTACTATGTTTCATGGCAACAATAACAGATGCATACTGCTTACCGGTATGTCCATGAATCTGAAGGTACTCTTTGAGGAATGGAAAAAATCTGTTTGCATCAACACTTGGAATTGTTTTCTGCATTTCTTTGATTGAATGATAAAATTTCTCTTCCTTTTTATTCTGTTGACAAATCGATTCACTTTCATCCTTAAACAGCTTCATTTTTTGCTGCTCTTCCGTACTACAAGTATTACGTTTGTTGTGGTGTAAATTTGGTAGAATTTTATTTCGATGTTTTGCTTCGGCTGCTGTCAACATCTCGGAAAAAATGTGTGTATTGAAAATTTGAACTTCAGAGAAAAAAATAATTTGATTACCAGATATGTGGAGAATCTTTGAATGGAAAGGATTGATAGAGTTTGGATAGGCAGGATTTCTTTTTGGTTTAACAGCAAGATCATCTGGAAACGACAACTTTCTTTTGAGGAAGTGACTATTTTTGGATACAAGAAGATTATTATGGCCATTTTTATGGGTAGAGTTTTCAGCTTCTTTAATTTTGAATTCAAACTTTTTGCCATTTGCAAATGATTTTTGTAAAAGATTTCCAAAATATAATTGTTGCGCTTTTTTGCTAGTAAAGGTGCTGATCTGGGTTGATTTTTTAAATTTATATAACTTGTATTTGAAAGTGAATTTGAACTTATCTTCTATTTTCTGGTGCCAGGGTGCAAATCTCTTCACTAAAGAAAGAGAGGACAAAAAGGCGTGATGAGAACAGTCACAGCTGCTAGAAACTGGAATTCAAAGGTTGATTTGTCCAAATGATCAAAGAGATGTCACAATGCAGCAACGACCACGTTAAGCAACATTTCCCGAAAGGTTAAAACACTTTGGAAATAAATAAAAACACAATCCAATGATATTAAACTGAAAAAAAAATATATTTTTACTATGTTTGTACTATTACAAAACAAAACAAAGCTTCTCATTGGACAAGAAAAAAACAAGCTGCTTGAGTGCAGACACAATAATTTGCTGGAGTCAAATTCAAAATAAGATTTGACTTAATTTTCAAAATAATTTGTCTCTCTATGTAATTAAATGTTGCTCACAACTTCGAAATGTAAAAACAAAATGATTCTGGTCCCACAGAGACACTTTCAGTGTCAGGGGTTCGGTTTCTCTGCTCTCTGTGTCTGGTGTTTTGCCCCGGGTCCTTGGGCTCGTCTCTCATCCCGCCTTTGATTGTGCGCACCTGTGAGGCTCCACCTGTTCCTGACCACCTGGCTGATAAGACCACTATTAAGCTGAGGTTGAATCCTGTCTTCGCTGGATTGTTGAACTGCAACCCTGACTATCGTTTCTCTGTGTTTGTGTGACATCGTCCCTCGTTGTGCTTTGCCTGACCTCCCAGTATCTCTGTGTACAGGTTTTGGACCCCACCAGTTGTGTGGTTGAGAGCACTGTAAATATTGGACAGGTTGGACTCCCCCTTGGACCACTAACTCCCTGGCACATTTGCTCACTCACTGTAAATAAACGCACTGAACTGCCGTACCGAGTCTGCGACTGAGTCGCCTGTCTCTTTCTACGTGACATTCAGAAGCAGTTTGTTAACCAGAACCTGTGATATATATTATATATAAAACTAGGGCTGCATGTAACATGTAAATCATGTAATAATACGTTACACTAGAACACCCAAACACCCAGACAAACTTTGAGTTTACAGTTGTTTTTTAAAATAGTACACTACATTAGATTTTTCACTTCCAACCCACCTTTGGTGCGAACAGCCTCGCAGCTGTAACGTGCCAGCTTTCTCATCTTTCTCATTTGCCTTTCCGGCCTGAAAAAAGACAAAGATTTGAGATTATTTTCAACTTGATTTGAGGAAATGCAGTCTATGAAAACAGATCAAAAAGTAAGAAAAAACTTTGTAATTTTATAACAAAGTGTAAAAAATGACTGCAATTCAGGTTATGCAATACTTCTGTTAAACACCTTAAATTAAAGCTAAATGTCTGAACTTCAACCACATCTTGATTGCTTTAATTCACTGTGGTGGTATACAGAGGAAAAACTCTCCCAATACCTATGATCCTAACTGCATACTATTTAGAAACAGTTATAGTTAATATCCAAACTGTTATAAGATTCTTGCCTTTTGTGGATCCCAAGGGTACATGCTGAATTGACTTTGAGGTCAAGCAACATCAGTGGTGTTGGTATAGATGGTATACACTGAGATACACGGGTGATTGACTGTGCATTCAGTGCACGCTGATAAGATGTGATGACTTCAACCTGAGAAAAAACAATATTACGTGTTACAATATTACAATCTTACAGCACTTTGAATGACGCTGAAAGCTGCTAGCCCCATATCATGACAGACACACCTCGTTGTTTTGCATCATTCACTGTTGTCTGCATGTCCAAGCAGGTTACCGTCCTGCAGTTTTACAGAAGTTTCCTGACTCAACTTTCTGTTCCTCTTAAGGTCTTACACAAAAGAAACTGAATGCCGTGAGATGACTTGTTGGGAATATAAATGACGCAGTCATGTTGTGCCATTCATATTCAAAATGTAATATAGTTTTACCCAAATACTGAGTAGTCCGTGCATCTACATGAGAGAGGGTGTCAGGAGCATCCTGAGCTTATTGCATGTTGCTCTTTGTATCATATTTGTATCGAGTTTTTTGGATTTATTCCCTGAGGTTTCTCTTGTGTGTTTGTCTCCTCCCCGTGTGTTTGCATTTGTCTCTCGCCCCTCCGTGTGTCTTGTGTCTCCATGTTTTCATCTCTTTTTGCCCGCTCTGTGTCTTAGTTGTGTCACCGTGTTTAGTCTCACCTGTCTTGCCCTGCTCCTCTCCTCGTGTTTCATCTTTTCCCTCCCTGTTCACGCCGGCTGCTGTGTCAAGCCTGTGTGTTTCCTGTTTTATTTTGACAGTCTTACATCCCATGTTCAATGTGTTCTGCTTTGCGTCGCTCTGTCTCGTCACCTTTAATTTGGCCCAGCTGTTCCCCCCGTGTGTTTCCACTTCCCCGATCACCCTCTTGTGTGTATTTATTGTGTCAGTTTTGCCTTGGTCTTCGTCGGTGTGTTGTGTTCCTCCCGGGAGTTGTCTGTGTTTCTTCCAGTGAATCCCTCCTCGTGTTTCCGTGTTGCCTCCAAGATTATTCTAGTGTTTTGTGTTTACTTATTTAGTTCTCCCAGTTTAGGTGTTTCTCGGTTTGGTTTTTTGTTATTTTGGATTTTTCCTGTCTGAGTTCACATTTTGAAAATCTGCCTAAATAAACAGCACGCCCTTAGTTAACCACTACCTTGTCTCCTGCGGTCTATGTTTGGGTCCTCGTACCAACCTCACACGATCTGCACTCACCAAGAGATCATGACAGAGGGAGAGAGCTCTGTATTCATATAGACATATAGAGAGATTTATAGATGTATGAAAAACTAACACATTTACATTAATAGTTTGGCTTCTTTTTGTCTAATAGCTTTAACCCTGAGTGTTTTGTGCTGATTCAGCCATGGTTTTTTTTTTTTTCATCTGACTGTCTGAGCTGCCCCACAAACTCTTATTTGTATCTTTAACCCTTGTGAGATTTCTCTAGTAATTATAATCACAAGAAGGAATAAGTCGGATTATTCCTTCTTGTGACTGGATTATAATTCAAAGAAAAGATTCAAATAAACAAAGAAACTTACCTTCGAGGTAGCAGAGCTGATGCGCTGATCAAA